AGAAGTGTCTCTTTTTCCTTTCTGGCTCAGGATTCTCTCCAGAAACACTCTTTTTTGGGTAATCTTTTATAACCCTGAGCAGTTCTTTGCTCTTTCCTGGCCTCTCACGTCCTCAAACATATTAGGGAGTACATTTCACAGGGTGGCCCTCAACCTGGGTCCATCCAGTGTTTCTTCATGACCGGACTCAGACCATGAATCCTTGGCAGGGGTACTACAGAGATGATACTGTGTTCTTGGTGCAGAACGTCAGGGGCTGCATGGTTTTGACTTCTCTGACCACGGGCGATGTTGACCTTCATCAGGTGGTCATGTTGGTTTCTACTGGGTTTATCTGCTATGAAATAACTATTTTTTTCTTTGTAATTGATTAGTATTTTGTCAAAGAAGATAATCATATATTAGGCCAATATCCTGTTCCTCATCAAATCTCCACCCACCAGTTTTAGCAAAGAACCACAACTCCTGCCTGTATCAGCTTCTAGTGTGATGGTTGCCCAGTGGTGACTTTCTATTTACATCATTCTTTCTACCTATGTTGGCCTTCTACTATAAGGATGTTTTCTTCCTTCTTTGTTCATTTATATTTACTCACATTCTTTTATTCAGTGGGTTATAATCTATTATACTTTTTCATTTTTATGACCGAATTCACCATGATTTGGCTAGTAGAAGCCTCTTCAGTCTGGATTTTGTGTCCTTTTGACATGTCCCTAATCATTTTTCAAGCATTTTTTTCACTGTATCATCAGCAAGATATTCCAGGTTCATCTTATTTCTCCAAGGAGCCCTGGTTCCTTCTGGTGTAGTTATGATTTAGAAACCGAGATCCAGATACTTAAGTGTGCTCACTGCTACAGGATTGTCAATGCTTCTAGACTCAATTAGCAGATAGACCTAGGGAATACATGTGTATGTGTATGTGTGTATATATAACATAGAAATACATATCTATATTTTATTTGGGAATGTGTATTTATTATAAATATGTTTTGTGTGTATATATAGTTCGAATAGAATGATACATGTAAATATATTTCTAACTATTGCTCTGTTATTATGTATAAAATTAGCAAAACCATGAGTTCATAATATTTCCAATTGTAATCTAACACTTGAATGTTCTTTAAGTCTTTGCCCTTTCCCTGTTTGTAAGTGACATTTCAGACAGTGAGAAACTCGGCTCCCATCATCTCAGTGTGTTTACTTACTTGCTCAGTCACCTAATGTAATTGTTGAATGTAACCAATATCCCAGTCACTCTGGCCATTGCCTCTAAGACAGCCACCGCTCCGTCCAGTTTTTAAAAGCTGTCAGACACACCACCATCATATGACATCCCTCCTTATGACTACCTTGCTTCCTCTGACGTCCATGACCTTGTAAGCAAGGCTCTGTGCTAGGATAAGAAGAAAGGGGAAAATAGGAAGATGTCTAAGATTTTAGACATTTTAAGTTTGAGATGTCTGTAGCACATATAAGTGAAGATGTCAAGTATTGGGTCTGGGGTTCAGGTTCAGTTTCTCTAACTGAACATCCATGGTATTTTTATTATCTGTCACCATGTTAACAGTGTTCATTAGAGAATGATGAATTGATAAAGAATACTGGACTATGTTATGTTTTGGACTAATTAGCACACAGCATCTTTCCACATGCTGGACAGCTCCAGCCTAGTGCATATCAAGCTCCACTGTGTACACTGTTCATTTTGGGTCTTGTTAAAATGCAGGTTCTATTTCTACAGCTCTGAGGTGATGTTCAAGATTCTCCACTGCTATTAGGAAATACTGATACTGATGCTCAATGGTCCTCAGACCACACCTGAAGTACAAAGTTCTCATACCAGTCCACGTCTCTGCTGCCAGTCCTTTACTGGCTCCTTGTTGTCCACTAACATTCCAGCTCTGGTTCCCTATCAGATAGATTAAAAAAAAAGAGAGATGAGAATTTAGTAAGAGAAAATCAAGTTGAACGGTGAACAAATGAACTAAAGGTAGGAATAATAAAGTATTTTGCCAAGGAATGCAAGTTTCCAATGTTTAATGACTCGTTATCTTCTCACTTCTAACTTAGGATGTCTAAGCAAGGACGGACAATCATCTTCTCCATTCATCAGCCTCGCTACTCCATCTTCAAGCTGTTTGACAGCCTCACCTTGCTGGCCTCAGGAAGACTCATGTTCCACGGGCCTGCTCAGGAGGCCTTGGAGTACTTTGAATCCATCGGTATGGTTGACTTTTTCATGC